TGGCAATGTATGTATATAGATGGATAGAGTTATATGTATTTATGTATGTAGACAGATGGATCTATTTATAGATTTATGTATACATGGTAATGAATTTATATACAAATGTATATGTGTATATATACATTTATGTGTGTGTATATGTATATGTGGCAATGTTTTTTATATAGATAGTTGGACAGATTTATATATTTATGTACATGTGGTAATGTATTTTTATGAATTTATATATATTATGTATATATATGTGTGTCTACATGTGTCTATATATACATGAACACATAAATGCACACACATATACATTTATATATAAGTACATTGCCATATGGAAGAATATATGTGTATGCATGTGTGTGGAGATATATATATATATATATGTATATACACACACACACACACATATACATATATACACACATAAATGTATATACACATTTACATTTATATATAAATGTACATACATTTATATAAATACATTTGTATATTTACATATACACATTTGTATAAATATGAATACATTGCCATATATATGCATGCATACATACATACATACATACATACATACATACATACATACATATCTAACTATAAATAAATACACTGCCTTGGGGGTTACAGAACCAGGGCTTCAATCCCAGCGCTGCTGCTCACTGGTCTTTCTCCTTCTCTTGGCCTCAGTTTCCCTCATCTGTAAAATAAACCGCACGCTCTCCTGGTCGTAAATGGTCTGGTCCTCTCTGGGCATCCGCTTGCTCCTCCGTAAAAGGAGGACGTTGGACTCAACAGTCACTAGGGCCACTCCTAGCCCTCAGTGTCCCAACTGGACCTCCCCCACCTGGAGGCCTCCTCCTTTTTTTTTTTTTTTTTTTTTTTTAGGCAATTGGGTTTAAGTGACTTGCCCAGGGTCACACAGCTAGTAAGTGCCAAACCTGGTCTGAGACTGGATTTAAATTCAGGTCCTCCTGACTTCAGGGCCGGTACTCTATCCACTGTACCACCTAGCTGACCCTGGAGGCCTCCTTCTTGAAGACAGTCTTCTTCTCCGTCTAGCTTATGTTTGTATCTGTGTACATACTATGTAATTAAGGCTAGTTGAATAATGATAGGGCAGGCTTCTTGGCACTTTGTGGTTTACGAAGCTTTTCCCTCAGAGTAACTCAGGGAAGCTGGAAATATTAGACGCACAGGGACAACTGTTCCCATTCTACAGGTGAGGAAACTGAGACCCAGAGTGGCTCTGTAAGATGTTCACAGTCACTAGGTTAATCAGTGGTAAAGTTTTGACTCAGACCTGGGTCTTTGGACTCCCCAGACCTGTGAGTCTTCACAGGTTTCCCGTTTCTCTGGGGCTTCTGTGAAAACCCTGAAGATTGAATGAATGAAACAGGGCATTGGTTGTTCATGAGAAAAGACCATCGTGAAGGGCAGAACGGTCTACTTTGGACTCTCAGCTTGACGTCAAAGGACTGAGGGTGATCACTGGGGTCTCAAATGAAGGCAGAGATAAACTTTCTAAATTATTTTATTTCCTCGGACCTCTGTAAATTGGTGAGAGCTGGCAGTTGGAACAGATACAAGGGCAGCTTTTTCCCAGGGGTGGACTTTTCCCAGCCTTCTCCCGCACACAGGATTCTTGGTCTTTTCTGTTTCCTTTTAAGCCACCATCAAACAAAAGGTCAAGAAGGGCTGTTTTACCCCATAGTTATTGACTCAAAGGTAACTGAATGATAAGGAAACCAAAGTTCACTTGGTTGGTTCCTTGGAGGGCCAAGTGCTCACTTTCCCAGAATGCGCTGCCCAGAGGATGCTTACTTGGCAAACATTCAATAAACTGGGAGCCCTGTAAAGCTTTCCCCCGCCCCGGTGATAAGCGCGCCCCCCTCCGGTGCTCAGATAATCAGTCAGGAATCTCAGTGGTATCATTGCTGACCCCGTTAGAACACTGATGGAATTCTTGCCTCCGACATGGCCCCATGCGTTTTGAAGGAGCTGGAAAACCAGCCAAGTGGCCCCTTCTGAAGGGTCTCTGTCTGTCTTCCAGGGGCCAGGTTCTCCCGGCAGATTCTCTGCTGAACATTGTGGATGTGGAGCTGATCTATGGAGGGGTGAAGTATATCCTCAAGGTAAAGACCTCCTCACTCCCCCTAGACCCCAGCCCAGTATCAGAGTGAATCTGAAAGCTGAATTCCGCCATGGAAGCCGAAAAACAGGGCAGCCAGGCCTGGGTGGTGGCAATAGCCCGTGGTGTCTTTTCATATATTTCTTCAGTAAAAGTACTCAACAATTCTCTTTCCAGTCCTTTGGTATGTGGGAGGTACCCCTGCCCAAAGCCTGGGTCCCTCACGTAGCATCCCAGCCCAGCTTGTGAGGGAAGATTTAGGTGGGAAGGGATGCATGAGGCAGTTCCAGCCTGGTCTGGTGGAAGGAGGGTTGGCATTGGCCTTGGAGGCCTGATTTTAAGGCCCTCCCTCCATCCCAAATTCACTCTCCTTAGCTTTTTCATGAGGGTATCAGACTGAGCATTCTTGGTTCCAGCCGTCTCTCAATTTTACAAACCTTTTCCAGCTGCAGCCTGCTTCCCTGAGACTTTTAACTCTCCCTTGTTTTTTTTTTAAAGAAAACAGATCTGTGCCCCTTTTTCGAGGGTCTTCCTGACTTTTGTGCAGTTCCTGTTAGGGAGGCCAGGCTGGTGAAGGCCTTTGAACCTTTCGCTTTATGAGTATCTCTTGAAAGAAGGGATGGTTAGGCTGGAGACAAGACATAGAGGCATGTGCTGAGTATCTGCAGGCGTTTGAGGGTCTGACACACAGAAGGAGGATTAAGTTTGTTTCGTTTGGCTCTAGAGCCCAGGACCAGGAACACGGGTGGGAACAGCAGAGAGGCCTATGTAGGAAAAAGCTTTCTAATTTTGAGAAAACTCTGGGAGTTCAGTGAGCTGCTTCAGGATGATGTGAGCTCTGCCATCATGAGATTGTGTGATCACACGTTCGGAACCAGAAGGGACCATTTCTGGGGGTCTTAGGCAGACTGGATGAGTCCTCTTGGGCGTGTGGTATAAGGAATTCTGCCTCGGGTATAGGTCAGACTAGATGGTCCCAGAGTCCTGTCCGTCCCTGGGATTCCAGGGTTCTGGTGCTGAGGAGACAGGAGGTCTGGTCTAGAATGCGCAGAAGCCCTCTCTGAGTGAGCACCAGAATATGGACGGTTCTGGTTCCGGAGCTTGAGGCTGCCCAGTCCCACATCCTCTGCTCTGGGCTCTCTCTCCTCAGCCTCAGTCTGCTGCCGATGCCGGCAATGGAGGGTTGGGGCTTCCCAGCCGGGGGGGCTCGGTTATCTTTGACCATGACACAGGTAGAGATAGGGATGGATAACACAACTCACCAGACTTGGACCTATCTGGCTACCGAGAGCAGGGCAGAGGGTGGGAGCCCTCATCCCTTTGTGAAAGACCCAGAGCAGGAGAGGTCAGCGGTCAGAGCCAGGCAGTGCAGATGAGGCCAGGCTGGGAGGTGACCCTGGGGTGCCCTACCTGGTGGACATCACCCCAAAGACTTCTTAGCTGGTGTAGACCCTGAATGTTTCCTAGGGGTGGAGGATGGAAGGTGCTGAGAACCCCATTTCTCCCCAGGTCGCCCGACAATCTCTGACCATGTTTGTTCTCATCATGAACAACTGTCACATTGAAATAGATGCCCACCGGCTCAATGACGGCGGGCTGCTGCTGTCTTATGACGGTAACAGCTACACCACATATATGAAAGAAGAGATTGACAGGTAGGTCCCAGGCCAGGTCCCTGGACGTGCATGGGGAAGGGGGTCTTTCTCTCCTAGGAGTTCAGCTTCAAAAGCAGCTTTTGGGGGAGGGGCTCCCTCCCCAGATCTTTCACTTGTCCCCAGAGTGGGCGCCACCCAAATAGCAGTGACTGCTTGGTCTCACTTTGACTATATAGTTTGAACCTCATCGTTGTTGATGGAAGTGTCAGACCATTGAAAGGAGACTGAGGAAAGGCCTAAGGGGCTTCCCTGCCCTCCTCGATTTCAGGGCCTCTGGCTTCTGGGCTGGGGTGCTCTCTACCGCTCCATCGTTTCTTTCACGGTCATGGTTTTCGATGTCTGGCACCCTGAATATTGGGGCTGTCCAGACACCCTGTCTCTTGGGAAGGGGCGGCATTTTATGCCTTCATCACCGTCCTTTGCCTCTCATTGACATCCTGTCCATTTTGTGAGCGTTAAGCCCTGTGCACAGCTGCCCTGTCTCCCACCCAGACCACAGCCTTTGGGAGCAGCAGTTTCTAGTACCTGTAAGGGACGAGAGAACACAAGTCAGCTGGGGGGTCCCAGAGCCCCCGGATTTGGGGGCCAGCCCTGAGGTTGGTCCCTATTATACTTTAGGCCTCAGGTATACATAGCTGGACTCTCAGGGTTGGGGGGAACCTTGGAAGCCCCCCAATCCCACCCCGATCCAAACACAAATCCTGTAGCTGCCCTTCAGCTCACTTTGAGGCAGCCCTCATCATTAGGAGGCACCAAGCCTAGGGCTGCCCATCTGGGGCTTCTTCCTGATTCTAGTCTAGACATGTCAGATGCTCTCAGGTTGCAGAATTTTCTGGAATTCAATTTGATTTGGGCCAGTGGCAAGACAGATAACTTACTGGGTGATGATTGTGAGCTGAGGATTTCTTTGGGAAGCATCTTCGGCTGATCCACAGTCTGACTGCAAACCCATCCTCACCGCCTTGTCTCCTACAGTTACCGGATCACCATTGGCAATAAGACGTGTGTGTTTGAAAAGGAGAATGATCCCACAATCCTGAGATCTCCCTCTGCAGGAAAGCTGGTGCAGTACCTGGTGGAGGACGGAGGCCATCTGACCTCGGGAAGCACCTACGCGGAAATGGAGGTACCTGGGGGCCCTGCCCCTTTCTGAGGCTGCGCTCCTTGGCCCCTGCTTGGCTCCAGTGACGCTCAAGGGGCAGAGGTCACAGACCGGTTCATTGCCCTGGGGTGGCCCATTGGCTTTGCCATTTCCCAGATCTCTTCTCCGTGGTAAACAAATGTCTGGAGGTCATTGAACCAATCCTCATATGACATGGTCCTGGGTCCTTCTGGTCTATCACCCTTTTTTGGCTGCTCTCCAATGTCTTGAAAGCCTTCTGAGAGGGTGTCACTCCCACTGAATGTAACATGGCAGAGATGGCAGCCCATGTTCACACTGGTCTTTTTGTTACCTTACTGACTCACCTTGAGCTTGTGGCCCACCCAGACCCCCAGGTCTATCTCGATCGCCTCATTCTGGCTCCGCTATCTCTGTTCCCCATTTCCTTGGTCATCACTCCCATGTCATTTTCAGATGAACTTGGGTCTGGCCATGCTTCCTTTCATGTTACCCTTGTGAAGTGGCTTTTTTGAATCCAAGGGTAAGACTTTAGTGCGTGTGATGAGGTAGAAAGAGTACAGATTTGGAGTGAGGAGACCTGGGTTCAAATCCACCTCTGCTCCTGACTGCCTAGATGACCTTGCACACATAACTGATGTCCTGTAAGCTTTGGCTTCCTTGTCTCTCCAGCTCAGAGTCTGTGAGTCACCATTAAAACCCCATCTTATTCAACTTTACCCACCTATCAAGGCCTCTTTGGATCCTGTCCCCGTCTAGCTTGGACTCTGAGTATGGCCCCAATGCCTTTATTCAAGTCTATGATAAAAAGGACTAGTCAACCCTCTCTGATTCTAAGATCCTTGGTACCTTCACCTCTATGAGCCTCAATGCCCTCATCTGTAGCATGAGGATAATTCTCGTACATTGTCTGCTACAAGAAAAGGGCTTTGTGTGTGGATTGGAGAAAAACAAAACAATCATGGTGCATGGGATCAAAAATTTGAGGCTGGAAGGCAGCTTGGAGGCCATTGACCTCAATCCTCTCATTTTACAGATGTGGAAACTGAGGCACCAAACAGTTAGTTGCCCCGCTCAGGGTCAGACAACTAGTCAGTGTCAGGACTAGAACTCAGGACTTCTGTGGCTGAATGAAATAATCAGAGCCAGCAAACCAATTTACACAGTGATTATGGGCAATGATATAATGGAAAGAGTATTTTAAAATGTCACATTGTGTCATCATGATGCCATTATAATGTCATTATAAAGAATCACTAAGTGAATGCTCCAGCCTCTTTGTAGACCTGGGGTGTGTGGGAGGCTGGGGGACCCTCCAGATGCTGCACACACAGGGAGTGGTTGATGGGCTGATCCCGTGGAACTGCTTTAAAAATGACCAGTGGTAGATTTTCTGTCCCATCCCCTCTGTGTTCCAGCTTGTTCCTTGCTTTTCCATCCTCAGGCCTACCCTCATCCTCTGTTTCTGCCTTTCCTCCCAATACGCCTTTCACACTTACCCTGTGATTTCCCCAGTGTAGGAAGCTCTGGAAGGGAGCCTACCCTGCCAGGGCTGCCTGGCTCCTTCTCAGCCAGAGACTTAGAGCTCCCCAGAGCCCCAGGGGCCACCAGAACAGGCGTCAGGGACGCAGCTGGCTGCATGTTGACCTAGAAGACCCACACATGTCGATGTAATTAATTTTTTATTAATACATCAACTGCTTAAAATCAGACAGAGACCACATTTTAAGTTCTGGCCAAACTTGGGCCCAGAGCACTAGGTGACTCACCTTGGGTGACCCAGCCAGTAACGGATCAGAGTCCAGACCTGAACCCAGACTGCCCTTGAGGCAGCTCAGTGGTTCAGCTGATAGAGCACTGGGGCTAGAAGAGTGAAGACCTTAGTTCAAATCCAGCCTCAGACACTTACTAGCTATGTGACCCTGGGCAAGTAACTTCACCTCTTTCTGCCTCAGTTTCCTCATCTGTAAAATGGGGATCATAATACCACCTACCTCTCAGGTAGTTGTGAGGATCAAATGAGATGATATTTGTAAAGGGCTTAGCATAGTGTCTGGCACACAGTAGGTGCTTAATCAATGCTTATTCCCCCCACCTTGATCCATGGTGATCCTGGGATCCTCCTCTCCCAGAAATTTCTGGGACATCTGGGGATCTGACTCCCTGCTCCAGGATCTCTAGTGCACTCATGCTTCCCATATGCATAGAAGATCACATGTGTTAGTATTAGCTTCATTCTTGTTTTGTATCTCTTGGGAATTTCTCATCTTCTGAGCATGGAGATTCCCTCCACTGGTGCTGATCACACCCTGTGTGCAACCTCTCATCCCATGCAAACTCTTCCAGAGGGTTATCCCAATTCACTGGAGCTCCTCTTGTGTACTTTTGGTATGTAGGGAGATAGGTGGGATGGATGGATGGATGGATGGATGGATGGGTGGATGGATGGATAGGGATGGATGAATGGATGGACAGAAATAGATGGAGATGGATAGATAGATGGATGGATGGAAATGGATGAATGGAGATGGATGGATAGATGGATGGATGGGGATGGATGGATGGATAGAAATAGATGGAGATGGATGGATGGATAGAGAGATGGATGGAGGGATGGATAGAAATAGATGGAGATGGATGGATGGATAGATGGATGGAGATGGATGAATAGATGGATGGAGATGGATAGATGGTTAGAAATAGATGGAGATGGATGGATAGATTGATAGGTGGATGGATGGAGATGGATGGATGGATGGAGATAGAAGGATGAATAAATAGAAATAGATGGGGATGGATGGATGGATAGATAGAGATGGATGGATAGAGATAGATGAATGGATGGGTAGAGATAGATGGATGGTTAGAGATAGATGGATAGAGATGATAGGTAGGGATAGATGCTAGAAAGAAGGATGGATGGATGATGGATATACGCACACACACACACACATACACACATATAATAAATAGACAGAACAAGCCTTTATGAATCACTTGCTATCACTTGCCAGGCATTATGCTAAGTGCTGGGTAGTCCTCATGGAGCTTACATTCAAACAGGGGAAGCTACCACATATGGGGAGCAGGAAGAGGGGGTATGGAGTGTGTGGGCAGCTCATGGAGGGCTGGTTTGGGTCAAGGTAAATCAAAAAGTCACCTCTGAAAGCTTGAAATCCCAGAATGAGACCATGTCCCGGTTGTGGCTGTCGGGTTGCTGTCCACCTGTTGCCCTTGTCCCTCCCCAGTCTCCACCTTTTCCAGACATACGTGTTCTGTCAGATATCTTTGGTGTTCCTCTGAAGAAAAAATAGTTTGTAGAAATACAGTTTGTACGTGACTCTTCAGGAAAAAAACAAACAAACAACTTTCTTCTTAATTTTCTCCTGTATCTGATGACGGTGTTTCCCAAGGAAAGGCCATAGTTTGGGGATCAGTTTCACCGAATCTTAATTCCGGCCTGTTTGTGGGGTTTGGGCGGCTCTGTTTTTTCATTCTGGTAATCGCAGAAGCAGCGGCAGCTGGGCTGTATTCACTCAGGGCCTCACAGAGATTGGTTTGTGTAGTCCTCAGTCTGTCTCATATCACTGGTCCCCAGTCCTGGGGGTCTGTCAGGTTCTAGGATTCCTCTTCTCACTTCTTCATCCCCTCCCACCCCAGGTAATGAAGATGATCATGACCTTGAGTGTGCAGGAAGATGGCCAGGTCTACTACGTGAAGCGGCCAGGAGCCATGCTCCAAGCAGGCTGTGTGATAGCCAGACTGGAGCTGGATGATCCTTCCAAAGTCCACGCAGTGAGTGACGACGCTGAGGTTATCGTGGGCTCCTGGAGCCGATGGGGCCGGGGCCAGTGCTGGGGAGCTGGAAGGTTTACCCTGGGGGTGGTCTGTTCCACGATCTTCCCTTTACAGAAGAGGAACAGATACAAGAAGGAAAGGGGCTTGAACTCCAAGATCATTTGGGTAGTGAGTAGTAGGGTCAGAATTTCAACCTAGTTCTATGAGCAGAGATCCTGTGTTCTTGGCCTCCCCCTACCTGAAATATAAATGTCCATCACATCCCTGGGAAGTGCTCCTTTGGCCTGTTTCAAAAACCTCCAGTGAAAGGAGGAAGCCCACTCCCTCTTGGGGCAAAGTAGACTTTCTGCCTCGCTCCCCCCTTTCCTAAACAGCCGTGGTTGTTTCATGTTCTTGAAATAATACGGACAGCGGGTTCCCTGCTCATGTCCTCTGCTCATCTAGTGGGTGGGATTGGCCACACTGATGGCTGCCTCACTCCCCTCTGTACCCCCCAGCACAGCCGCAGAGCCTGGGATTGGGGCCCCCAGAAAGTGCTGGATTGACAAACATTTGCTGAGTGAATGGACGAATCCATTGTTAACTCACGGATATGCTCTCAGGAGGCGTTTGAGCTCCCGTCACTGGTTGTATTAAGACTAAACCTTTTTATAAAAGAGAAGATTTATGTGAATTTTTAGTTATTTTCATGCCATTATGTACCCATCTTTAGGGAATCGATAAGAAATTAAGGGAGAGGGAGCAAAGGTTATGAAATGTGCCTGTGGCATTGAGAAATTCAAACTGAAAAAAAATCTTATAAAATCTCAGGAACATGGCCCCGTCCCCTCATTTTACAGAAGAGGAGACTGAGGCTCTGCCCAAGGTCAGATGCTAATTAAGGAGACAGCAAGGCGTCAGACCCACTTCCTCCCATCCTTTCCTCCCTCTGCTTCTCGCCAGGCCAAGCCGTACATGGGGGACCTCCCTTGCCAGCAAACCTTGCCCATCATGGGAGAGAAGCTGCACCAGGTTTTCCACAATGTCCTGGAGAACTTGACCAACGTCATGAATGGCTACTGTTTGCCCGAGCCCATTTTCAGCACCAAGGTGAGAAGGGCCTTGTTGGGGCTGAGAAAGGAGAGAAAGGTTTAGATACATACATACACACAGACACACACACACTGACCCCCCCACATGCTTTCACACACCTACACACATACACTCACACACACATATACACCTACATACTCATTCACACACACTTACACATACTTAACAAATGTAAACACACTCACACTTACACACACCCACACTTTCACATAGACTTACTCTCACACTCATATAACACAATCACACACATATATATTTAAATCCACTCACATACACCCACATATATACTTTCACATAGACTGACTCTCCCATACACACTCAGACACACACAATTTCACACATACATACAGACATACACTCACACATATTTACACATTCATACATTTTCACATACCCACACACTCCTACACCCATGCCCTTACACAATACACTCACACATATACACACAAAAACATACACATATTCCTATACTGGCTTTCACACACACCCTTACACACAGTCACACACACTCACACACACACACACACAAACACACTATTGGAAAGCTTGTTCTTTTCTTTCCTTGGTCATTTGTCCTTGACCCACCCGGCAGCCCTGGGACAGCTTTGAGCCTGTCATTCTCAGTGGGTCCATGTATATTATGGCACAGTTGGGTCCAGTTTAAAACGTGAGTAGAAATCAGCTGGGACTTCTACTAAGTTATTCAAAATGGAGCCTTGACTTGACTGTTAAAGACCAGACCATGAAAAGAAGGTGGGGAGAACTAGATCAGGTGCCTCCCTGCCCCCCTCGCTGTGGGCAGGGGCAAATTCAGAACCAAACAAAGGCCATAGAAGTTTTTTTACAAAAGATAGAATCGATCATTTCAGTTATATGAAATTGGAAAGCTTTAACATTAGAGCCTATATTGGATTGTACACTGTCTTGGGGTGGGGAAGGGGAAAGAGAAGGGGGAGAAAACTTAGAACTCGAGATCTTATGGAAGTGGATGTTGAAAACTAAAAATAAATTAAATAATTGTATAAAGAAAAGAAAAGCTTTAACATGACCAAATTTGGTGTATGTAGGATAAGAAGGAAAGTGATAGATTGAGGGGAAAACCCTTTGTATCATATGTCTCTGAAAAGAGTGTGACACCCACAACATATATGCAAGCAACTAACAATATAGGAAAACAAAAGCCATTGTACAACAGATTATAATAAATAACTCCCCCACCAAAAAAATTGCAAACAGCTAATAATTACCTGCAAGAAGGCAGCACATTACTAGTAATAAGAGAAATGCAAATCAAAACAACTCAAAGGTTTCACCTCACATCCAGCAAATTGACAAAGATGACAGAAGACAGGAGCAGTCGGTGTTGGAAGGGTTGTGGAAAGAGGCATACTCATGCATTGTTGGTGGAGCTGTGAAATGGTATGACCATTCTGGTGATCAATTTGGAATTACATGGAGAAAATGACTGAAATGCTCACACCCTTTGACCCAGAATTTCCTCTGTTAGATATAAACCCTAGGGAGATCAATGACAGAAATATATATACTCACATACACCAAAATGTTTATGTATATAGTCAGTCAGGAAATGACTCCACAAAGTTGGTCCTGGATGCAAGGGATAGAATAGCACAGGGCGGTGAGAAATAACGAGCGTTAAGAATTTGGAAAAGCCAAGAAAGACTTGTCTGAACTGATGCATCTATGCACTGACTCATGTACATGGAAATAATGGACATTATTGAGCTCTGCCCCAGAGAAAGTGGAGGAGAGGACCCCTCCGCCCAAGACTTCTTGGCAGAGGTGGGAGGGAGGCTGTGAGACCACAGATAATATCCCAGTTATTTGTTTCTGTTAATTTGGCCCAGTTGGGAAAGATAAATGATAAAAGAACAAAAGATAATAATGAAAATTACTTGAAAGAAAAAGTGCCCTGGGAGGCACGGCAGGTGGGGGGGAGCCTAGAGCCTAGAGACCTAGGTGCGAGTCTTCACCCTGTGATCCTTTGGGTCCTCAGTTTCTCCATTGATCAGAAGAAGGAGTTGGAAGCATATCAGAAATGTCCAAATTTATCTCTTTTCCCTTATTGTTGTCTCTTATATTAATTTGATACCACAATCACTTCCTAATCTGTGTACAGGTACCCCTGACCCACCCCAAAACAATCAAACCCTCCCTTGTAACAAAGAAATGAGATTAACCAGGACCCTGTGGGATGCAGATGGGACCTTCCTTCCTATAGTCTTCCGGCCTTTCTCCTAAGACAGGTGACCAGAGCTAACAGTTGGTGTCCTAGGCCAGCTGCCTGCAGGCATTTCTTTCCATTTATATAATTAATATCATTGAATAGATTTTTGTTTTTGCCTTACTTTGCACCGGTTCAGTGAAGGCTTTCCATGTTTCTCTGAATTGCTTTTGATCATTTCTTTATGCTCAATTAATCAGGAGACATTATTAAGCACCTACTATATGCCAGGCATTGTGTTAAGCACTGAGGATACAAAAAGAGGCAAAAGACAGTCCCTGCCCTCAAGGAGCTTACAATGTAATGGGGGAGACAACATGCAAACAAATATGTACAAAACAAGTTATATACTGGGTAAATAGGAAATAATTAATAAAGGGAAAACACTGGAATTAAAAGGGGTTAGGGAAGGCTTCCTGTAGAGGGTGGGATTTTAGTTGGGACTTAAAGGAAGCCAGGGAGGTCAACAGTTGGAGCAGAGGAGGGAGAATGTTCCAGGAATGGGGACAGTTAGAGATAATGCCTAGGGCCAAGAGATGGAGACTCTTGTTCATGGAACAGCCAGGAGGCTGGTGTCAATGGGTGGAAGAATACGAGGTGGGGAGTAAAGTGTAAGAAGACTGGAAAGGTAGAGGGGGGCTGGGTGATGAAGGGCTTTGAATGCCAAACAAATGATTTTGCATTTAATCTTGGAAGTGATAGGAAGCCACTGACATTTATTGAGTAGGGAAGTGATGTTGTCAGATGGTGTTATTGTGTTACATTTTATCCATCTACACAGTTTGTTCAGTTCTTCATTTAAAAGGCACAGTCACTTTTTTCTAGGTTTTTGATATAAAAACATAGCTGCAGTTATTATGTCATGTCAATTTCACCTGTGTAGTACGTCTCATCAATTTCACCTCTATAGCATCTCTCATCAGTTTCATCTCTGCAGCATGTCTCATCAGTTTCACTTCTATAGCATTTCTCATCAGTTTCACCCCTGCATTATCTCTCATCAGTTTC